AGCTGTTCGATTTTATGTAACCAATCATTCAATTTGCAGATATAAGCAGTCCGACACTGTAAAACGATTCTACAAAATCAGCTTGGATTTTTTAATTAGATTTCTTGGCTGGCTCTGCAAAATGTTACAATTCTCTTCTTCTACCTTTTTCGGCACTAAAACAGAGTAATAAAAACCATCAGTTCCTCCATTTTGCACTTCATATAATTGAATTTTTTAAGGTGTTAATTCTGCAAAATAAACAGATCTCCATCCCCTTCCCATTTAGAGCCATTAATTAAACTCACGTGATCTATATGGGGTAAATAGATTATCTGGAAAAAAAAAAAGAAAATCACGGCAATTTGGCAACAAAATATTTAGTTTAAAAAATTGTTGCTCAGTTTGCAATTATTAAATAAACTTAACACTTCGAATTTGAAAATATTCAAAGTGAACATCTTAGGGAGTCAGTAAATTAATAATATTGGTTTCCTGTTATGTAGGAACTGTTTTACATTTAACTTGTTTTCTTTAATTTTCCTACTCTTATCTCAATCTCCTTCCAAAAATAACTTCCCAAAAATTGGAAGCATACCCACCTTCCATGTTTATGTTTCCTAATACTGCAAGTGACTTGAAAGGAAACAAACTGTCCTCCATTTCATATAAATCAATTTATTTTCATTTCAATTTGCAACTATCAAAATGTTTAATACAAGAACTTACTATAATGTGGCTCAATCTCTATGTGAGAGACAAATTAGTAGAATTCTGTGGAACTATATGCCAGAAACAAGAGGAGTCAGTCATGCTTGTCCTCTGTCTCTGTAATAGAGCTGGAAGGGGTTCTGTTTACAACTCTTTGCACAACAGAAGAGCCAGAGCTGATCTCCAATTGTGATGTTGGAACTGCAAATGGTTTGACGGATGTCCTTAGAGATTCTGGACCCTCTGCAGCAATTCTCTTGCACAATGCATCACAGTTGCTAATGACCTCAGTCAACCTCCCTTTAAGTTCTCCAATCTCTACCTGCAATCCATGAACTGCATGTGTTTTCCAAGTTAAATGATGTCCATAACCCATTGAAAAATGTCAGTATGATATTCCATAGAAAGAGTCAGAAATGTGAACCCCCAGAATATAATAGAGATCAATTACCTCCAGACAAATGCTGGGAAGTTGTTTTCATAGCAGACACCGAGTAATTAAAACGTTGGAGAAGTTTAACTGCCAAAGCATCTGCTACTTCTATTTTGTTCTCTATCTCCTCCTTCAAAGTTTTAGTTCATCAAAATGTATGCAACACAAAATGTTCTAATTCTTATAAAATATAGGCAAGAAAAAAGAATTTGAAATCAACTGAAAGCTCTGTCTAGAGCAAAGAATCTTAGTAAAAGAGTCAGAGAAAGAAATGTCAGCTAAGTGGGAAACAATTCAGTGTCTGAGCAGCCTAATTCTGCTGGCTAATGGTTCCTCATTTCCCCACCATTTAATGGCTAAAGTTGATGTTTCTTAGTTAACCTGTTTCCCAACGAAGATTCTCACAAAAGGTAAGTCTGAGCTCTCAAAAAACATCAAAAAAGAGAAGTAGCCACTAAACCTTTAAAGTGATAACAATTTCCCAAATATGAACCCGTATAAAGAAAATTTAGGTTCAAAAAATGTCATAGGATCAATGGCAAGCTCTCACAACAAAAAACAAAGATTAAAACAGAAAAATGCTGATGATTCCCACACTTGAAGAGCCTGAAGACACCATCATCTAGGCCTCATTTAGATTCACCTTGTGTTAGACAATCCAGTTTAGAACCGTATATAACAAAAGGTAATTCCAAACATCAGCATCCTGGGTGTAGCTATTGACATTTCTTTTGTTAGATGACATTTTAAAATAGCCTTTGATCCATCACCATCAGAACCCAATTTTAGAAGACCTTAAAATCGGAAGTATTCTTTGAGGTGCTGTCATATGCTGCTTTCAACAAGTCTTCCTTCTGTTATTAAATCCAACCCAAATCTGATCCAATACAAAAATACAAAATCACAATTTATAGATCTTATACGGTATAATTTCCGGATAATCCACAAAAAGAACTGATCAAAACCACCAAATCTCTTATGATTACTAAGCTTAC